AGGGAACTACAAGAAAACTCCTGACTCTCATATACCTATTTCAGGTGTCTGGATGAATGGTGGTGCCATTTGCTGATATAGGGACCAGAGATGGAAGACATTTAACATGAAAGTAATGTTTGGTTAAGGCCATCTGGAAGCTGAGATGCCTATCAGACACTCAGGAAGTTGGATGCACAGTTCTTGAGTTTAGGGAAGGGACGTTTGAGGTGGAAACACAGACCTGATGACATAATACAATTTAGGTGGCTGTTAAATTTGTTAGTATGTTTGAGATGCCCTAGAGGGTGTAGAGGAAGAAGTGAAAGGAACTAGCACATCTTGATTATATAACATACATCAGACATTTGATTACGCACTTTACACGTTTGGGAAGAAGTACAATTACAATCATACTTTAGTATTAGAAAGACCTGGATTTGAATCCATACTCTACCAGTTTACTAAGTGTGTGACCTTGAGCAAATTATTTAATTTCTCCAAACTCCAGATTCTCATCTTTCAAAAATTATAATGATAAACTTCAGGCGGTTTTGTGAGATTTAAATAAATAAATGGGAGTGTCTAGCAAATGGTAAGCTCCCAATAAATGTAATCTATTATTATTATCATTATCATCTTATTTAGCCTTTATAATAATCATATGAAGTAGCTTTATTTAAGAATTACTAAGTTTTTAAGTAGACAAGTGGATGATCCATAGCCAGAATCCAGGTGTTCTGATTTCTTTCCAGGGTTCCTTTAACAAAACTATTCTGTAGTAGTTTCTCACAGGAATTAGAAACATTTTGTTAATTACATCCAAAAGAGTACATATATTTTCTTTGCTTTTTTTTTTTAAGAAAAAGAAGAGCAACTCCAGACATGACTCCAAAGCAACTGCATAATCAAATTTCTATTCATGTAGCCTCTTCCTTTACCAAGATAGTTAGTACTGAAGTAATAGCTGTCTGTCAACAGAGATGATTATGCTCTGCTTTTAGACAACTGAAAATAATAAATCTCAGGTGTCAGAATATCAACCAGGAACTACAAAAATGTCCTTCTCCATTAAGTTTTGGACAAGTAACCTATATTTACCTTTACATATCTTGCTAAAGCTGAAGGCTTTACTATATAAATATAGTGATAGTAATTCATGCCACCCACCAATTTCAAAGGCTACATGAAAGATTAAGAGTTTCATGTCTTTGTAAAGAGTGATAAGAACATAATGATTTATTAGCGTTCCAACTGCTGCCTTCCTTTTCCTTTCATGTCTTGACAATTCTTATCATAACTTTCCTAGCTGATGGTTTAGTAGAAGCAGTTAGCAGATCTTAGCTTTAAAATTACACAGATAACTTATTTAAAGCTGCAGATTTGTTCCAATGGCATTTTACTTATTTAACAAACATTTACTTTCTTATATACCAGATATTGTTTGAAACTGGAGACCCAAAAATGAAGAGGTATAGTCTCTTTCTTTAGCGAGTTCACAGTCTGGTGAACATAGTCCACAGAGAAATAATTGCAGTAAGTTTTGTAATAGAGCAATGTTCAGGTTGCACATGGAGGCTAGCCAAGGCAATCTTCAAAGAAGGGGTTAAATTTCACTATGATATTAGGAGTATGTAAATTTTTAAAGATCATTAAATTGAGCATGTACAATTTATGCATTTCAACGTAGGTAAATTTTACCTAAAAAAATGTAAAGAAATATTGAGTTCTGGTTAGTAGGATTGTTTTTCAAAAGGATATGGGTTGACAATTCTGAGAAGTCCTTCTGTGTACTCTAGGCTTAATAAAATATATATATATATATTATTATATATGATACATATATCATAATTAAAGAATGAGAGTCAGGTTTCTGGCTGTTGACATGGAAGTTCCATATGGAAATGGATAAAATGGCAATCTACCTTGTGATGTTTGCAGTAGAAAAATATCAGTATGAAATGATGGTTTTTAGTAGATAGATATTAAAATAACTATTGACATATGTGTCTATATATGCATGTGTGTATATATCTCTCTATATAATTATACATATACTTATTACATATAAATATATACATACATGGATGTCTATGTAAACACATATACATACACACACATACACATACTTTCTAGCTCTGTCGACTGAGAGGGCCTAGCAATAATACACTAGTAGCAATAAGCACATGTAGCACCAAGATCTTGGTTTCTAAATATCATTCCACATTAAAAGAAACAGGGACTTCTGGGAAGATGATTGATTACAGGGCTGCAGCAGGCAAAATCAAGGCTAAGCCTGGAGCATCTTGTTATCCTGGAAAGTAAGAAAGTACTCAAACAATGAGGGGACATGTAAAAAGGACACAGAAACTGGCTTTAAAGGGCTCCTGCTGGCCAAAATATGTAATTTGAGCATCAAAAAATATAATGACGGGGCTGGCCCCGTGGCCGAGCGGTTAAGTTCGCGCGCTCCGCTGCAGGCGGCCCAGTGTTTCGTTGGTTCGAATCCTGGGCGCAGACATGACACTGCTCATCAAACCACGCTGAGGCAGCATCCCACATGCCACAACTAGATGGACACACAACAAAGAATATACAACTATGTACCGGGGGGCTTTGGGGAGAAAAAGGAAAAAATAAAATCTTTAAAAAAAAAAAATATATAATGACAGTAATGAATTACAACCCACTGAATAAAACAATATCCATGAATCAATGCTGATATAAATACTTTAATTGATTAATTGATTGAGAGAAATGAGAACTCTCCTCCTTAAAGTAGTATGCCAATAAATAAAGGTAGAATGAATGATGGATTTAGAAAATCATCAATGGATGCTAAAAGTGTAAGTGAAAAAAATTGCTGAAGAACAGTTTTTTGTACACCCTTCAAATAATTCTCCCACAAATAGTTTATTAATTACAAAGAGGAAAGAGAGTAACTTTACAATGCAGAAATTTGGTAAACACAACTTAGTTAGGTGATTATGCTAACATCACCAATATTGGGACAAACTATCATCGTGTGCCTTCTAACATGACACACTGAGAATGACACAACACTATTTGTGTGATATCTGCCAAAATCTCATAACCTGAACCCAGTCATGAGACAAACCTATATTGAAAGAAATTCTACATAAAAACTGGCCTTTGTTCTTCAAATATGTCAGGGTCAAGAAAGCCTGAATACCTCTTCTAGATTAAATGAAACTAAAATGATATGACAACTAAGTGCATGATTAGATCCTGGACCAAGAAATAAATAGCTAAAAGAATATTATCGAGAAAATTGAAAAAATGTGGATATAGACCATCGTTGAAATATGTTCTTAATTTTAAGTTTCCTAATTTTGATAAATATGCTATTGTTTATAAAGAAAAGTCCTCACAAAAATAATCAGTATTCAGGGTAAAACTTTAACCAATTCTCAAATAAATCGTATGAAACATAAATATGGATATAGATAGATATAAACATATAACGAGAGAGGGAGACAGAGAGACAGAGAGAGAAAACAAAGCAAATGAGTCAAATATAATGATTGCTGAATCTGGGTGAAAGTTTTATGGGAGTTTTACTATTTGTGCAACTTTTATCTAAATTTTAAATTATAGCAAAATAAAAAATTACATAGTTTCATTTATCCTTAAGATGTAGAAAACTGAAAAGAAAACATCACTTCTATCATAATAACAAGAAAATGACAGAAAAACTGTAAAATTATAACTCTTTTTGAACCCATCAGAGAATTAAGATTGTAGGACAGCTTAGAAGTCTGAAATTTAAAGAAAGGCAGGCCCTTCTAAGGATGCAAGCACTGTCCCACCTGGGTCAAAGCTTGAGCAGAAGAGAAGTCAGATGGCATATAAGGAAAAGAAAGACAAAAGAACGGGGCAGACAAAATATTTGAAGAGCTAACAAAAATAATTAAAGACTTCAAAATGCATATCCAAGAAGTCAAGGAATCCCAGGATGCATAAATGTGGAAAAAAGAATCCACCTAGACAAATAATATTCAATCTGCTGGCTACAACAATAAGGAGAAAATCTTGAAGGTAGTCCAAATAAAATTACAGAAGATTTCTTATTAAAATGTATACAATGCAGAAGACAATGGAGTTACATCCTTAAAGTACTGAAAGGAAAAAAACCTATCAACCCACAATTCTATAGCTTTCAAAAATTAAGTCAAATATTGTTTTGAACAAACAAAAGCTGAGTGATCTATTACCAGCAGACCTGTGTTAAAAAGAAAAGTTAAACAAGTACTTTATCAGAAAGACTATAATACTAGAAACTTAGTTGTACACAAAGAAATAAAGATTACAGAAATTCTAAGAAGTAAGGTGTGATGGTTAATTTCAAGTGTTAACTTGACTGAGCCAAAGTGTGCCAGATTAAACATTATTTATATACATATATATGGAGAAAGAGAGAGAGAGAAGTGTTACACAATTTGATGGTAGACTATGAATAATTAACGATATATATTATCAAACTGAGGGCAACCATTAAAAGTTATAAAAGAGATCCAAAAATTAAGTGGGGGCCAGCCCTGTGGCGTAATGGTTAAGTTTGGCATACTTTGCTTCAGCAGCCCAGGTTCACAGGTTCAGATGCTGGGCGTGGACCTACACCACTCGTCAGCCGTGATGTGGCAGTGACTCACATATAAAGTGGAGGAAGATTGGCACAGATGTTAGCTCAGGGCTAATCTTCCTCAAGCAAAAAAATGAGGAAGATTGCCAAAAGATATTAGCTAAGGGCAAATCTTCCTCATCAAAATAAAAAAAAAAAAGGTAATAATGGAGGCAAAATGGAATCATAAAAATACTCTATTAACGCAAAAACAGAAAGAAAAAGAAGTGAAAAAGGAAAAAGGATGAGACAGAATGAATATAAAACAATAGTAAAATGATAGATTTAAATTCAATCATATTAGTAATTACATTAATGGTCTAAATATTCCAGTTAAAATGCAGAGATTGTCAGACTGATTTTTTTCAAAGCAAGACTGATATTTACCTGGCAGGAGACATACCATGATCAAGAAGGGGATTTTCCCGGCGTGAGACTTGTGCATTGCACTCTGGATGTGCTGATCACTGCAGTATGGCTGCATGCAGGAATCTTGACTGCATGATTTGTGCTGGAGGGGATCTGTGTTCCTGCTCTCCCCTGAGATAAAAAATTAAGTAAATAATTAAATCAACAAAGCAAGACCTGACCACAGGCTGTCTACAAAATGAACCAACAATAAATATAAAGGCAAAAATATGGTAAAAACAAAAGAATGGAAAAGATAAATACAAGCAATAATTGAAAAAACCCCAGGGTGCTATAGCAATGTCAGACGAGGGGACTTAAGAACAAAGCATATTACCAAGATAAAGGGCGGACATTTCATAATGCTAAAGAGGTAAATTCATAAGACGATATAAGGAGATACAAAAAGCATAAATGTGTTTGCAACTAACAACAGAACTTCAAAATACACAAAGCAAAAACTGCTACAACAGAAAGAAGCAGACGTATTAGCAATTATAGTTAAAAACTTCTTCACTCCTCTCCCAGCAATCAATAAACAAGCAGACAGAAAATCAATAAAGGTACAGAAGACGTAAACCATAACGAGCTTGACCTAATCAACATTTACAGAATATTCAAGCCAACGACAGTAGGGTACATAGTACTTTCAACTGCTCGTGGAGCACTCACTAGGAAAAAACATTTACTCATTCATAAAATAAACCTCAACAAATTTAAATAGAATTAAATCATACAAAGTATCTTCTCTGATCACAACAGAATTCAACTAGAAACTAATAACAGAAAAATATCTGGAAAATCCCCAAGTAATTGGAAATTAAATAACAT